AGAACCCAATTCAACACCAGCCCAAAGTCTATTGCCACAGGCAAAGGCTAGACATGCCTTCACCCTCCATACCTATGTTCCCTCTTCTAACCCCAACCATCCCTGCCACGACACTCTACTTCTCTGACTGGGTTGATAATTCATTGCAATGGCCACCCAGAACTCACAGACAATATTCCCAATCATGTTGTGATCAGAAAAATTCAACCAGTCATCAAAAGTAATTTCAAAATAACATTAGTTCTTTATTTTCATTTCTAGAAAGACAATATATATTGAAAAACAAGATATAGACATCTTCTCTATCTTTCATGATTTTTTCACATTTCTAGCTATTTCACATGTCTCATCCCAGAATCTTCGCTCCAAATTATCTCTAATAGTCACAAGTAGCTCCAAAGCACCTATCTTCATATTCTGTATCACAAAACCTCAATAATCAATCTGATAAGGAAGAACCGCCTCAGTACATAGAGCAGAAAAATAGATACAGTAGGTCAATCCAGAATCTTTTTTATCAAAGAGGCACACAAAAATGGCAGAAAATGCCACAAATTATTACATATCTGTAGCATGTGCCCTGATGGTGCTGTCAAATAAGCATTGAATTGCTAACCCCAAGGTTGACAATTCAAACCTACCAGTCACTCCAGAACAATGAGGCTGTTTGTTCCTATAAATATTTATAGCCTCAGTTTCTCTATAAAGGGTAGCTATCAGTCCGAGTTGCCATGACAAAACCAGGTTTGGATAACATTGACAAAGAATGTTAGACAGGCTTATCATTCTTGATATCAACATCACTTAAAATGGCTTCCTAAAACTCAAGATCTGGCTTAATAATCGCCTCATTGCCACCTTCATTTCTTTGTTCCTAAAAGAGTAGATGGTAGGGTTCAGAAATGGAGTGATAATTACATCAAAAATGGCAAGGAATTTATCCACTGGGACAGTGGGGAATGGCCACAAATACACAAAGATGCATGGTCCAAAAAATAAGACCACCACTGTGATATGAGCTGACAGTGTAGAAAAAGCCTTAGACAAGCCATTGGAAGAATGTTGCCGAACAGTTACCAGGATGAAGATATAGGACATAATCAAAATGAAAAAAGTTCCCAGAGAGATGAATCCACTGTTGGCAGTGACCATGAGCTCTAATCTGTAGGTGTTTTTGCAAGCAAGTCTAATAAATCGAGGAAGATCACAGTAAAAGCTGTCCACTTCATTCGAGCCACAGAATGGTAAATTTACAACGAATACTAGTTGTATCAACGAATGGATGATTCCAATGGTCCAGGCAGTGACCACGAGTAAACCACAAATTCTGAAGTTCATGATGGTCAGGTAGTGGAGAGGCCTACAGATAGCAACGTATCGATCAAGGGCCATGACTATGAGCAGCACCATCTCAGTTCCTCCAATGACATGAATAAAGAACATCTGAACAATGCAGCCTTGGAGAGAGATTACTTTTCGTTCCTTGAAAAGATCAGAAATCATCTTCGGGGCTGCGCTAGAGGAAACCCAAATGTCAATAAAGGAAAGGTTGGCCAGCAGGAAGTACATGGGAGAGTGCAAGTGGGAGTCAGAGACCACTGTGAGCACAATAAAGAGGTTTCCTAAAATGCCGGATACATAGAACACAGAGAAAACTAGACAGAGGACAGGTTGCATCTCCAAAGAGGTGGTGAGTCCCAGCAACACAAACTCAGACACCACTGACTGATTTCCTCCCCTCATGGTCTTGGACACCGTTGACTCCAAATTTGTCTGAAAGAACAGGAGAAATAAGAAATTGGAATTACTGGCTACACCAGGCAGGGTTCCATTACACAAGAAGATAATATACTAAGGTATTTGCTACAGGGACTTGATCCTATGTAAACATGAAAGCTTGTTCATTTTTGTATCCGATGCAGTAGCTTGAAATCCACAGGACAGGCAGTGAGGAAGAAGAGGTGTAAGCAAAGTGGGGGAGAACAAAAATAAACTGGAATCCCCAAGGACTGACTGACGCTTATGTTAATTCTCATTGTCATTGTCCCCAATCTCCATGGCATGGATTTACTACAGAACGCAAGGCCCTTCATCAAGTAGCTAAGCACCCGCTTGACCCAGGAGTTAGAGAAGCCTGCTAAAGAAGGAACACAAGGTAGGAGAGGCAGTTAAAGGACCACTCACTGCCTTCAATTAATCAAATGAGCCAGTAGATAAATAACATGTGTAGACCTCAGAAATGAATATTGCTTCACTTCTGCCCTTTTGATTTTTCACAAGTAGTGCTTTTACAGAAATAACAAGCTATACAGTTTTTGCAGACTGTGCCCCCCCCCCTTTGGTGTATTGGCTTCTATACATCCTATACACATTGTGTGTATTGTTATGTACATAGGCCCATTGTTTTTTTTTTAATGCACTAAAGCTTTTGAAGCCCACACTTGTTGGAAACATATAAGAAAGGAAATTCCTAGAAATGTAGCTCATCTTATGAAAACATCCAAGTTTTTTAAAAATGTATTTTTTAATTTATCTATTATCCCTTTCACGCTGTCAAAACATGATCATAATTTTTTT